AATCGTGCTTAGCAAGTAGACACCCTTTGGCACACCAAACAGCCCTAGTGAAATGACTTATGCCTGGTATCTGACCAGTGCCCCCTTCTCATATGGAAGGGGAATTGGCAGCTGGAGATCAGCCTGTATGCTCACACTAGACTGAAGGTGGCCATTCACTTCCCACCTTTCTTCCTATTTCTTTTTAGCTAATTGCAATGGCAGCCCTGGATTGGTCCCTCTTTGCTGCGTAGGGATTAGTCATCAGAGACCTTCCTAGTCTCAGAGTAAAAGCAGCCCGTGTGAGGGAAGTCAGGGCACTCTAGAAAGTGTTCTGTGAGGGAGGGCTGAGACAGGAATGGGTCAGAAGAGGTTGAAAGAGGGAATGAATATAGAATGCTTGGGAATGTGGTTTTTATGTCTTTTCACTTGATACCACAAGGTAGGTAATACTAAGGCCGCCTGATCCTCCTCTAACAGGTAATGGAAACCGGAGAGAAAGGGTGTAGACTTGAATAATGAGCTCAGGCCACTTATTCAAGTGAAACATGATCAAAAGAATATCAAGGAGAATATGAATTCAAGTATTTGTTGAATGTAGCTGAGTGGAAGTTAGCCACAGAATTACTTTTATATTAAATCTCTGCTCTGTGTAGCAGGCTGTACTCTGCTTTGAGCAAACTAAATATAAAAATCAAAACTGACATAAAGTCAACTGGATGTGATTCTTTAACGGGAGATCTTTTATTTTCTCAAGAGATTTTAGGTTACCTCCTTTAAATAGTAAGCACCTAGAGATTTAAAAATGGGATTTGAATTATAAAAATATGATTTATCAGCAACGTTCCCCAGGAATACATCTGTGGCATACGCTGCCTGTCTGTAGCCAGCGTATGAAATTATAACCTGCTAAGGACATTTCAGACAGCAGTTTCACAGAACACTTTAAATTAGAGGCAGCAGGATGTGATAAGTTGGTAGCATTCATATGTATCCTGAGGAGTGTTTCCAAGGGCATGTCTGATAGCAACTGAGAAAATAAAAGGCACTAACACATCGGCTCTAATCTCCCATCTATCTTCCGAATTGACTTGGTTACCTGACACCCTCATTTCCAGCCTGGTATTTTTTTTTTTCTTCTTCTCCAGAAGCAAGACCAGCCCAGCTGGATGTTTGAGTTCAGTCTGATAACATTTGATTCTCCTTAATCAGCCTGATCTTTTCAGCCTCCAGACTGAGCTTCTTAAATCATCCTTTGGTGGTAGAGATTAAACCATGCCTGCCCCCCAGTGGAGTGAACAGGATATGAGGAAGGAATGGAAGAAGCTGGGCATTATTGGAGCCAGTAGAAACATGACTGAACTGAATATGAAACCTAACCTGACTTGGATCTTGTGACAGGGAGACTTGTGTTTAAAAGCCACTGTCTCTTGTGCTTAAGTTCCTCCAGGATTCACTATTCCTATTGAGGTTGGTGGCATATTTTGCCACAATACCATTTTGAACACTAAAGCTGATAGGAGAAGGCCGTTGCTGGGCAATTTTATGCCCCTGAATTACTTTAACCACCACATATGTACCCATATCCCTTCCCTTTTCATGTCAGAAATGACAGCCAGGTTTTTTTTGAAAGAGAGCAATTTGCCATTCGCATAGCAAGTAACTAAAAACAGATTTATTATGATGGCTGATTAAAGTAACTATTGATTGTGATCTACTGTCTACTAAGCTTATCCCAAACACCAGCTGTTTCTCTTGGGGAACTGGAACTGGATGCCAGGTTGGGGACCTGAAACACCCTTCCACCCCCCACTCTCTCACACACACGCACACACACACAAACACACACACACTTGCTTTCTGTGCAGACTTTGTGGGGGAGGAAAGAGTTTCCAGTATCCTTGTGTGAGTGGGGAAGTAAATAATTTGTTAACGTGGGATAGACTGCTTGCATTTTTATTTGAAGGAGGAGTGAGATCATGACATCAGAAATATCACTATCTCATAGATTAGTACTGGACGCCGGGCAGGCCCTAGGGATTATTTCTAGGAAGACAAAGGGGATTCTGGATCAAAAAAAAAAAAAAAAACCCCCACCTCATTCTGATCTTTTCAGTGGGTTGGCCCCATTGCTTCTGCTATTTGCAAGTGAAAATTAGTTCAGAATCAAGATGGTGGTTGGAATGCAGGTCAGGAGTTGAATGTAGCTCTCCCATCTAGAGACCACTGAGGAGTAATTTCTTTGGAAGTGAGTTAGCACCAGAATTTTAGAACTGCTAGGGCCTTGGTGATCTGGTTGTTTTGTGAACCCATGCAATTCTCCTGGTATACAAGGCTACATCTCATCTACCTACCCCAGAGGTTTGCCCAGTCCTTGGGTAGCTCCACTGACCAATACAAGCAAGGCAGCTTTCTCCAGCAGCGCAGCCTTCCTGGTGCTCCTGCAGCAACCTCAACTGAGGCCTGAAGGTGGTCACTAGGGAATGGGAAGGGAACTGTCCCATGTGGGGGGTGTGTGGGTGCCTTTACTTGGGGGAAACTCCCACTTTCGTTTTCCTTTCTTTCTGGCCTGGACAGTCTTATTATTCTGTCCCTTAGCACACTGGAAGGGGGGGTTTAAATTAAAAAATTTTTATTTTTGGCTGTGTTGGGTCTTCATTGCTGCACGTGGGCTTTCTCTAGTTGCGGTGAGTGGGGGCTACTCTTCATTGCGGTGTGCGGGCTTCTCATTGCGGTGGCTTCTCTTGTTGTGGAGCACGGGCTCTAGGCGCGCAGGCCTCAGTAGTTGTGGCTTGCGGGCTCTAGAGCGCAGGCTCAGTAGTTGTGGTGCACAGGCTTAGATGCTCCGTGGCCTGTGCGATCTTCCCGGACCAGGGATCGAACCCGTGTTCCCTGCATTGGCAGGCGGATTCTTATCCACTGCGCCACCAGGAAAGCCCGTCTTCTTTTTTTTTTTTTTAATTTTTATTGGAGTATGGTTGCTTTACAATGTTGTGTTAATAACCTCTAGTGCACAACAAAATGAATCAGCCATACACATATCCCCTCCCTTTTGGGCTTCCCTCCCATTTAGGTTACCAGAGTGCATTAGGTAGAGTTCCCTGTGTTATACAGTACCCATCGTTGTCTGTTTTATACATAGTATTAATAATGTGTATGTGTCAATCCCAGTCTCCCAGTTCCTCCCACCCCACCCCTTAGAAGGGGTTAACAGCTCATTGCCCCCAGCAGAAAATAAGTCCTGTTCTTAAGAACAGTCTGTAGTACAGTCCTCTCTCATGCTCCTTCTGCTCTAGCTGTCTGTGAGGCGAGGCCAAGTAGGGGAGATGGGATGCCCTGAGGCTTTCCAGAGGAGGCCCAAGGCGGGGCACATGGTTAATCCCCAGGTGCTTGTGCTTCTCCGGGCCCACTGACACTGCCTGGGAATTCCATCTCCCAGTGAAATTTCCAAGTGTGATTTCAGGCCCCTGGTTGAAGTCCTTGAGAGAACAGAGGAGCTGAGCTATAGCAGTGATGGGTTTGGACTTGCTGTCTCAGGTGGAATGCTCATGTAGGTCTCTTAGTACGGAGGGTCTCAGTGGGCTGCGCCTCTGGTTACTGTACCATTGCCACGTTAGGTGTGAGTTTAGTTCTGATGCTCTGAGCCTAAGCGAAGAATCCAAATCTGGCACGCCATGCCATGTAAAGCAAAGGACGGTGTGCAGAATGGTGCCTCTCAATGTTTTACAAAGGGTTTTCAGGGAAAAAAGGTCTTGATTTATAGCATTCGCTGTTTTCTGTGGTTTAAATATTACCCCTATGGCTGATTCAAGCTAACCAACATGCCATCACTAAACGCAACTATAGCTGGGAAGAGATGTGCACAATTGGGTGAGCTGGCCCCAGCACCCCACTGCAGTGCCTTCCCATATATGTTACCCACTGCATTCCATCTGCCCTGAGGCTGGTGTGCTGGGGCCAGGCCTTGCTGCTGAGTCATGGTGTTAAATGCACAGTTTTCCTCTTTCCTTGCTTTACTTGCTCTTCGCCTGTGGAGTGAGCTACATCTCAGCCTAAAGAGCCAGTAAATTGGATTCAAAGAAGGAGTGGAGTAGATTTGGAGCCTTGTTCGGTCCACCTGAAAATCCTGGTGGCCAGTAAAGGGGACACACCTGAAGGTGACGGGGAGCTCCTTTAGGGGCCTTTCACCCTCTGTGATCCATCTGATAACTGGCTTCCTTACTCAGGTCCTGGCATGTATACCTCCTCCTAGCAACCACCATGCTGGCAATATATACGTGTTGAGTGTCCATTCTAATCGCAACAGTATTACCTGAACTCCCATGCCCAGGTCAGATTCCAGCAAGGAAGGGCAACCCTGTGTCTGGTGGCACACCAGGGACTAACTCAGACGCCATCATAATACTCTGTACTATAGTGCATCTCCTCTCCGGGAGCCAAATCCCTGGATTTGATTCAGTTCTTGACCCTAGAGGGATTTGGGTAAGTGATTTCTTGTTTAGTTCCATTGTTCAGATCAGGGAGGCCATCATTGGAAAAGTGGCCTTGGGAGTTCCTCAGGGACTCCGTATCCAGCCCATGGGACTTCCTGAGGCCCATATGCCTCTCCAGCCTGAAGTGATTGTGTAGGCTTTGTGATTCTTCCACAGAGGTTGTTGAGACATTGTTAGGGTAAGGAAAGGGGCTGGTGGGGGTCTGGGCCTCTAGGCCTACTAGGCAAGCCAGCATCTGGTTCTTCCCAAGGTCTGCCGGTACCACAGAGATTTGTCTGATGTTTGACAGGGGCTCCTTTGGTCAGACCTATCCCCTTGACCCTGAGCCCTCCTGGGACTCTCTGTGCCTCTGTAGGATGGTGAGTTCCTGCCCTTTAAGAGAGAAGTAATTCTGAGAGCTGTAGCTGGAAGGACTGGGGCATTCGTTGAGGGAGTACTTGTTTAGGGAGAGCCAGGGCAGGGGTGGGGCAGGATGCTGAGTTAAATCTTCAAGACTTTGTGTTTACTGTCTCACTTTGTCTCTTGCAGTAGTATTTTGCCTTTGAGTAACTGTCCCCAGCTCCAGTGCTGCAGGCACATTGTTCCGGGGCCTCTGTGGTGCTCCTGATGCCCCTCACCCACTGTCGAAGATCCCCGGTGGGCGAGGGGGCGGCAGGGATCCTTCTCTCTCAGCTCTAATATATAAGGTAAGGACTGTGGGGTGGAAGGCTTGGAGCAGCGCTTCTCAGACACTGCTGAGTATCTGCTTAAGGGCAGTGATCACTCTCCTTAGTCTTCTGAGTCTTAGGCCAGGCCAGTAGGGGGACTGGGGAGGACTTTTTCAACTGAGGCTGCTGTGAGGCTTTTGGGGAGTACCAGGAGGGTATCAGCACCAAGCAAACACCCTGCCATCTTCTCAGCTTAGGTCAGCACTTTAGTGCTGGTTCTGGGCCCTGAGTGGGAGGCGGAAGAAAAAGCGGGGAGGGGGAACAGTGAGTGGAAGAATGCAAGAGCTCTTGCCTGGTGCTGCTCCTCAGTTTTCTCTTGAGGAAGACCAAGGGCCAGGAGGAGTTTTCCCATTGTCCTCGACTCTCGGGCATTCCGACTTCTGTCCCTTACCAGTCTGGGGGCCATGGGGCAGGGCAGTGGCGGGGGTGGGTGGTAAGGAGAGGGCAGCATAGGGCACAGCACAGGAGCTATAGAGAACCCTGGGAGTCTGTCCCGAGAGTGATCTGGCTGGGGCAGCTAGCCCTTTGCTGCCTTTTAATCTCCTGTGAGGCCAGAAGTGGTTTAGCTTCTCTCTAAGACTGGCATTGAAGGGTAGCAGGGCAGCTGAATCCTGTTCTCTTGAGACTGTGGCAGGGGAGACAACATGGACTCTGCAGCCACCTGGAAGCCAGCTTGGGTTGGCCTGTGCTCCAGCTAAGCCCTCATGAACGTCCTCATTTGTTTCTGTTTCTCTTTCAGAGAAGGAAGGGAAAGCACATGGTGTTGAGGGGATAAGCATGGGCTTTTAGTCAGGGAGACCTGATTTGAATCTCAACTCTGCCACTTACTCACTGTAGCGCCTTGGGTCAGTTGCTTAATTGTTCTGGGCCCCCAGTATCTTATGTTTAAAGTGGGGATACTGATGCCTACCTCAAGTGCTTGTTGTGGTGATTGAAAAATGGGCAAGTACTTTGTACAGGACTTGGCATCTGGTGGATTCTTGGTAAATATTCCCTTCCCATCATGCTGGCTTTTAGCTGACACCAAGTGGTCTCAGTGCCCGATGGCTCCATTTAGCCAGTATGCTGTTCTACATTTTCAGTGTGCCCTCTATCCCGTGCTACCCTGAGGTTGGCCCAAGAGGACTCCTTCCTTACACCACCTAGGTTAGGGAGCCTCTGATGTGGCCAGAAGCAGTAGTGACCTGGTCCTCTGACCTGATCTCCTCCCAGGACGAGAAGCTCACTGTGACCCAGGACCTCCCTGTGAACGATGGAAAACCTCACATCGTCCACTTCCAGTATGAGGTCACCGAGGTGAAGGTCTCTTCCTGGGATGCAGTCCTGTCCAGCCAGAGCCTGTTTGTAGAAATCCCAGATGGATTATTAGCTGATGGGAGCAAAGAAGGGTAAGGAGCAAGTGCTGGGGAAGGGCAGGAAGCCTGCTCTAGCGAAGGGCGTATGCTTACTAGAGACAACAGATGACTAGCCTTCCCCCTAGCTCTCGGCTGCCCAAGCAGATACCATTTTGTAACACGTTAGTTTCAGCCAGTAAAACAGGCCTGTTATAATGAAAGCAGATCATTATCACATTAACCAAATTCCTTTCATTTAATCACCCCAGTGGACATCAAATTCCCCTTGAGCCATCATATAATGGTGCAGTTCAAAGGCCAGGAGCTCAGAGATACAGTGGGATTTCACTGGATTGGGCAAGGCCCTCCAAGCACCCAGCTGCGGAAGAAACAGTCCTGAGAATGGAGTTCTCTTGAGTGGCTCCAGCCTCTTGAGCAAATCCTTTTAGGAAGTGTTAGGGCCCAAAGTCCCTCTCAGCAGCAGGTGGTCACCATTAAACTTGGCAACTTTGGAGGACCTCTGAGAAACTGGGTTCTCTTCCTAGGTCCCATATTTTCTTGTGAACTGCATTAGTTAAGTTGGTTAGTGTTAATTTCAGATGAAGAACCTTTATTCCAGGAAGAGAGAATTCAGTGACATTTTTCTTAGGGATTGTGGTTTGTTTTTTTTCTGAACTCAGGGCTCCTGAGGTCTTGAAATAGGGAACCTTCTTCCTGAAGGTTCCCTATTTACAGTGCTGGCTGTAAGCCTCAGGAAAGCCTTGGGTGGGGTGTAGAGGGGTGAGGCCGAAGTCTAGAGGGGGCAGTGGGCCTGAGTTGTTTTCCTTGCTTCTTGCAGATTGTTAGCACTGCTAGAGTTTGCTGAAGAGAAGATGAAAGTGAACTACGTCTTCATCTGCTTCAGGAAGGGCCGGGAAGACAGAGGTGAGGGGGCAGAGCAGCTTGAGACCTACTGCCCAGGCTGGGGAGGGGAAAAGGGAGCTCTTGGTAAGGTGGGGCTCCGAAGTTTGACCTACAAACCCTGGGAGATCATGGGATTGAGAGTGTCCAAATTTAGGAAAGGCCTAGTGCTTATTTATTCCATCTTTGTTCTGGGTTTTCCCTTGATTTGAGCCTAACCTTGTTGTATCTTACCAGAATCCTTTTTTACACTTTTTTCTGCAGCTCCACTCCTGAAGACCTTCAGCTTCTTGGGCTTTGAGATTGTGCGTCCAGGCCATCCCTGTGTCCCCTCTCGACCAGATGTGATGTTCATGGTTTACCCCCTGGACCAGAACTTGTCCGATGAGGACTAATGGTCATAGAGGATGCTTTGCCCAAGAGCCACAGTGGGGGAAGAGGGGAACTTAGGCAGCCCTGGGACAGAGGAGGGGGCTTCTTGCTGTCTAGGGAAGGACGCTGAGGCGCTCAGGGTGAGGGTTGCCTGTTGTGTTCTCAGAGTTGACTCATTGAAATTGTTTTCCATAAAGAACAGTATAAACATATTATTCACATGTAATCACCAATAGTAAATGAAGATGTTTATGAACTGGCATTAGAAGCTTTTTAAACTGCGCTGTGTGATGTGCTCTATCTAGCCTAGGGGAGGACATTGCCTAGAGGGGGAGGGACTGTCTGGGTCCAGGGGCAAGGCCTGGAGAGCTGGTGGACAGCACTGTCAGGCTAAGGTTCCCCTGCTGTTGGGCTTTCTTTTTTGGTTAAGACTTGTGTGTTTTCTTTCCTTGCTTCCTGTCACCCTGGGGACTCCGGAGTATAGGCTTTTCAGCCCCTTCAGTTGTTTTTTGACACTTCACCTGGGCTTCTCTCTGTGCATTTGTGTCTGGCCTGGAGAAAGCAGGTCTGACCCCTCCTTTACAGCTTTGTGTTATTCTGGCATTTGGTTAAGCTGGCTTAATCTGTTTCATGTTATCAGTGCATTTAAAATAGGGGCATTGAAGTTCACTCCCACCACCAGGGCTTTTTTTGGGGTGCCTGGGCCTTAAAAAACACTAGCCAAACTCCAATTCTCAGATTACGGCCAGGAGTTCTCGCTCTTGGCCGCAGGCCCAAGGTATGTCCTTCCTAGGGTCACAGACAGCAGAGGGGAAGAGGAAGAGCAGCTCGGGGCCTGGGGGTTGTGGGAGAATCTGCTCCGAGGGACTGGATGCCTCTGCCTGGCTGAGTCTAGTGCTCACTGCGCCCCTCCCTGACAGGTTCTGAGTAGTGCCTGAGACCCTGCTCCCCAGGGCTTGGCAGTGGCACTGAGGGTGTAGAGGTGGCCTGCCCTTTTCTGTTTTCACTGAACAGCTTGTTCTAAGCGGGGAGCAAGGGCGAGAGGTCTAGATTGGGCGAGGGGGTGGGGGTGTCAGGGAGGCAAGTGTGTTGTGTTACTGTGTCAATAAACTGATTTAAAGTTGTGGTTGGTCTGTCCTTTATTCCTGTACCAGGGCCAGCTTCCTCTACTGCTGTCTTTTGAGTCTAGAGCCCAACCCAGCAGGGGTGTGATACATGCTTCTCAGGAAAAAAGCAACAGTGCATCAGGACAGATGAATGGCTGAGGTCTCTGGGGCCACGTTACAACGCAAAACTCGGGGATGCTAGGAGTCTGGGACAGAATGCTGGAGCCCCCCTAGAGACAGGTATGTACACAGAGCTTCATCCAGAATAGGGGCTATACATACCAGGTTCCAAGCCATTCTTAGTTTTTGTGTAGAAGGCTGGGTCCTGAAACTGGGTTTTGGCTTTTACATGGAGCTGCCTGACATTCATTCCCATTCCTGGGGGTGTCTGAAGGAAGCGGAATACACCTTCCCTAGGAAGATAGTTTTCTCCTTTTGGAGCCCAGTGCCCTAAGGCATGGCTACCCTTCCCCTGTACCACCAGCCTGATGGATAAGCTCTCAGTGGCATTGGAGGGGGCTAGAATCCTCTTCACCTATGTTCTCTTTTTTAATTTCTCGCCAGTATTTTTTTTCCCTTTGGCTTTTTTGTTTTCCCAAATGAAGTGCTGGGCATGTTTTTCCACCTCCTACAGCTTTAGAACTGTTTACTTACTTTTGAGCTGTGGCTGTCTTTACATCCTCTGAGTCTTTGGCCTATTTTCACATTGTTCTGTGTGTTTTCACCCTGGACAAGTCATTAACCTTGGACTCTACCTAATACTCATGAAAAGGAGTTCAGCACCTCTACCCCACACGGTATTAGTAGAAAGTCTGGGCCTAGGGACTTCCCTGACGGTCCAGTGGTTAGGAATCCGTGCTTCCACTGCAGGCGGCACAGGTTCGATCCCTGGTCGGGGATCTGATCCCACATGCCATGCATTGCGGCCAGAAAAAAAAAAAAAAAAAAAAAAAAAACAACTCTGGGCCTAGAGATGATTCAACTGAAATATGAAGGGTTTTGAAGATGTCTTCCACTGAGCACATAATCCTTAGAGGTATTATAAAGTCCGTGACTGAAAAGTGGTCATTACAGTGAGATATTTACAACAGAGGTCCACATGAATGCTGACAATGGCCAAGTTAATGTAGGCAGTTTAGGATTCAGATGTTAAATTCAAACCCAAGGAATCTATAAGGCAGGGAGGGATAAGGAACCAAGAAAAACAGTTCTCATCTGCAAAGCTAGCAAGTGGACAGCAAACATGCCTGAGACTTTGCTGCCATCTGCTGGTGGCTTCTCTTTAACACAGCCAGAGTTAGAAAGGCTGAATTGGAAACCCAGGCACTCAAGCTAAAATTTCTCTTTCAAAAAGAAAAAACTTCTGCTAGGTTAAGACCACTGTCAGGAAAGAAATATGGTACCCAAAATCTGCAATTAGAAAAGCAACTTAGAAGGGGAAATCTTTTGGGAGTGGGAGGGTGGAGCAGGATAGGGGAGATATGTGAAAGGCAAACTAAGTCTAAATTTAAGAACAGGGACATTAAAAACTTTATTCAATAAATACAACAAATAATAATTTAAAAATATACTTCAAGTCCAAAGCCAATTAAGAAAAGGAAGTAGAGAGAAAGGGGAAAAAAAGGGGGGAGGAGGAAGTCAGAGGAAAAGGAGAAAGTTCAAGAGGTGGAACAGTGGTTTGGTTGGGCTGTGTTTCCGAATGTACCACCCTTTGAAATTCTGATCAAATGCTCTTGACCCGTAAGCCCTTAGCCCTTGTTCTGATGGGGTAGCCACAGGAGTTCAGCAGCCAGGAATGATTCTCTGGGCTGTGGATCAGAGCAACTATGGAGGCTGGCATCTGGGGGAGTGTTAGAGGCTAGTTTCCCACTCGTTCCTAAAAACCATCTGATCTAACGCCCAGGCAGGTTTAAGAAGTAGTGCAAACTCTTAGGCAGAGAGCTCCCAGCTGCATAGTTTCACAAGTGAGTGTCCAAAGCCAGGGCCTCTGGGAGACAGGTCCCAGAGTACCCAGGGGTCCAAAGCCACTTTGGTGAATGGGATCTATGGGAGAAGACAGGAGAGGCCAGGGCGCAGGATAAAGCTCCTGGGTAAGCCCGCCGCCAAGCTGGAAAATACTGCTGGGCAGGAAAGGGCTGCAGGGCAGGTAGTCTGGACACTGATTCAACAGCTTGCCATCAGCCAGGGAAGGTGGAGCTGAGGATGCATATGGAGCAGGACCAGGAAGATCAGGAAAGCTGAGGGAGAAAAGTGAGGAGGGAAGAGGAGGCAGCTCGGCAGCAAACTCCAGGAGAAATAACCAGCAGCCCTCACAGATTTGTGATTGTCTCTTAAAAAGATTTATTTTCTCTTCTTGCCTGAATGTACAAAGGCAAAAAGAGTACAGTTTGTATGTATATATATATATTTATATATATATATATATAAAAAACAAGGAACTTGGTAATGTACACTTTACAGAAGGGAAGAATCAGGAAGACTGAAATTAAATCTAACAGAGCAATGCCAGCGGAACAAAAGCTATGAACAGCAACACTGCCCCTCCAGCCCGGGCCTCCAGCTCGCCCCAACCTGCTCCCAATGGGGGGCTGAGCACCAAGGCAAGCGGGTGGGCTGGGGCAGGAGGGGCTGGGGACGGGGCCTGGGAGGGGCTTGATCCCAGGAGGGGCCCATGGCAGAGGATCATTGGAAAGCTTCCTGGGATGCCCTAATAATAAAACAGATAACAAAGGCCCAGAATTATGGGGCCAACTAGCTGCCCAGTTGAATCTTGGGGGCATCAGAGTAGACACTGAGATGGTGGTAGGGTACATGGGATAATAAGTGGCATGGGTGACCTCAAAGCCCGTATACAGTAACACTCTAGCCCTTCTGTAGTCTTACCCTCCCACTCCCGAGACCAAGCCCTTCCACCCCCACCTTGGAGCCTGGAGAGAAGAGGTTCAAGAAGCATCATTTCACTTCATGGGGTGCCGTCTTAACCCTTCTGCATGTGGTCCTTTGACCTTGAGATGTGTGGAGAGGGTGAGGTAAGAGAAGGAAATACACATGTATACATACATGTACAGGCAGGGAAAGGGGATGGGGGGAACTGGCACAGCTTAAATGAGGAAGAAGCAGATGTGAATCCTAAAGAGCAGCTCTCCAAGCCATGGCTGTCCTACCTGGGGACAAGGCTTCTTCCCTCCAGCTTCTCTGTGGGGCCTGGAGGAGCAATGTCTGTCAAAAGAACTGGGCAGGGGTAGCTCAGAGAGAGCCTTTGCCTGGTGGTCTCGGCCCTTAGCAGCAAACACTTCCAGCCTTTGCTGGGGTAAGGTGGGTGGGAATCCTTGAGTGTCTCTTCCCTATGACCAGGTCATGGGTGCCACAGGTTCCCCCTCTGTGTTCTTTCTCCGCGTGGAGAGAGGTTAGGGGTGGACAGCAAACCCTTCACTCAGTACTCGTTAAGGATCTCTATTTCATCCGTCAGTGCTGCTGTTCTGTGTTACTTCAGGGAGGGAAGACTGGACCTGGCAAGGATCGGGGACCAGGCGAAGGCAGTGCCATTCTGCCACTGCTCCTTTTACCTGCTCTTCTGGGCAGCTCAGCTCCTGCCTTTCAAGGGAGACTTGGATATAAGGATCAAAGAGCCAAATGTTTTTTAAGGAAAAAAGAGAAAAAACTGTTCCCTTCTGCAGAACCCAAGGATGCCCTGCTAATACAGAAGCTCTTCTTCTCTGTTACAGAACAAAGTGGAAAGGGGCCATGCCTGCCCAACAGGAAAGAAAATGACTCCAAATGGTTTCTTCACAATATGTACAGAGCACGCTGTAAAAGCCAGCGCCAGATACAAAACACACAACAATATTTAAAAACAAACAGGAACAGAGATGGGCCTTGGCTCCACCCGACAGAGTCTGGGAGGGCAAAATCAGGCTGAAGTTCAGGTGGGATGAAAGTGTCCACAGCAACGACTTCCATGGGTAAAAGGGAAGTCACTGCTCAGAGCACTGCCCGCTGGGGCATCAGAAGGCAGAAGGACTGAATGGACTGAATGGGGAAGGGAGGCTGCCTGGGGCCTGTTAAGAGGTCTTTAGACCTCTGATTTATCATTGGGGTTTTGGGGAGGGCTCAGAACCCAACTTGAACAAGAACAAGGACATGGAAACCTAGAGGAAAGGTCTATAGGTCAGAGGGGCTCCTCTTGGGCAAAAGACCCTAAGCCTCTCTAGAACAGGGCTCTGGGGATCTTGGAAAGCAGCCTCCACTGGGCATTGTGCTTACTGTCTTTCATCTCCATGCCCCAAACTGTCAGAGCCAAGCCCCTGCTCTTAAACGGTCATTTTTGGCACTCTGGTCACAAACACCCGTCTCTAACCTAGGTTGGTGTCTGTCAGTCTTCATCTCTCTCTCAATCCACAAGGTCAACGAAAGACAGGAGAGGAAGAAGACAAAGGGATGATACGTCAAAAACTAAGAGCTAAAGCTCCCCACACCTTGGGGAAGAAGTGACTCCAATAAAGCTACCAAATCACTGTCACTTTCCCAGTGACACAGCATAGAGCCTGGACTGGGACTGCATTTCTAAGGAGAGCAGAGAAATGTCTCTGCCTCAAAGCACACCTCCACTGACTACACTCTGTAGCTCCAAGGAGTAATGGCTTGCATGTGTTATCCCAGGGTCTAAGGAATAGATAAATCTCCCATGGTCAGTAGCCCCTAAAACAAAAAAACGGCTTATATTGGCACACATGGGGTTACAGGTTGAGCTACATAAAGTCTTGTAGTTGTGTACAGAGAAATTGGGCTGTATAGACTTGTGGCCCTAGATGAGGAGGAAACTCAGATGGCTGCTTGGACAGGACATCTCCTAGAAGGGCTGGGTGCTCCCAGGGCCTGCCTCCTGGCTTGCGCTCAGGTGACCTGGCAGACCCCAAAGCTCCCCATGTTGGGGGATACTATTTTACCTGCCTGAGCCTTAAGAGCCAAGCAGTGGAAAAGAAGAGGAGAGATCAGTGTGGGGATTCCCCTGGGAAAGGCACCAAGGGGTCGGAAGGGAGGTGAGAAAAGGGCAAGGAGTGGGGGCTAAGCAGCAGCAGGGCTTAGTGGGGTTGCAGCTTCTAGTTCACAGACTCCAATTCGTGCTCCAGCTCAAGCTCTCGCCCGGAATCCCCGGGGAGCTCTGTGCTGGTGTTGGGACCCCTGGCCCTCTGCCTGACAGGCAGCCCAAGGCCATGGTGGGGCAAATGCCTTGGTCTCCCTTTCCAGGCTGGGCTCTGAGCATTTACATGTGCTCATGTGAGACGGGAGAAGTCTTCATGTTGGAAGACCTTGTTTTCACTACTGCAGAGAAAACAGCCCCCAATTTCTTTCCTGAGATTCTAATCCCTCCATGTGCTGCCAGTTCCCAGGGCCCAAACCACTGGGGAGATGCAGGGTCTGGTGATGGTGGTAATGATGGTGAAGAGGGGTATGGCTGCTGTGCTGTCTTCAGACCTTACCCAGTGCTCGGGGGTCCCTCCCTGGGGGGCTTGGTACTGCTCCGGCAGCTGACCAGAGGCTTGGGGAACAGACCAGTGACTTCTCTGGGCCGAGGCCCCGTTCCCCTGGTTGCTCCCCGTGCCTTCACCTCCACAGAGGCCACAACAGTCACTACTGTGGCCAAGAGAATAAATATTTTTGCTAAGTACCGGCTCTCCAGCTCCTGAGGAAGAGGGGGAGGGTCAGGGAGTCCGGGGGTCTGGTGGAGGCGAGATAACCAAGGGTCTGCCTTCAGTCATGGTGGGAACGGCAAACAGGATGATCAATACCATTTAACTGATGTCTAAATGGCACCTCCAGCACCTTGGGTGAGCCAGTCCGGGCCCGTGAAGCTGACTTTATCCGGGCACTTGGTGTTCTTTCTGCAAGGGAAACATGGACAGATAACCAGGCATTCAGCCGGCTGGTAAAAAGAACCACAGGGTGGTGCTCCAAGAAAATGAACTGCAGAGGAGGCCAGTCCTGGTCGCTAGGGAAGACGTGTTCCACAGCTCCTCTGAGGCAGATGGCTTCATGGGAGACTTATACAAGAGGCTTGCCCAGGGTTCCACCATTTCCAGCCCACAGCCCACAGAGCTATCCTTCACCGTGGCTCTGCAGGGATTCTGTGATCCAGGTATCACCTATCCCTGCTCTCTAGGTGTTGCCCCAAATTAAAAAGTTACTTACCATTCTCACCTCCGGGGGGGTGGGTAGAGTGAAGGAGTGGAGCCTTGCTGGCTGGCAACAATGGCTGTAGAAGAAAGCCCTGAGTGAGGAGGAGGATGTGTTAGTGTGGCACTCCCAGACCCTCCCCTTAAGCACTCTCCCTTTTTGCCAGCTGAGTGGGTATTGGGGAGAGCTTCCCCTTAAATTCCTAGCTCCACTGAGTTCTGGGGTGCTGACAGAAGAAAATCTGATACTTGGATAGATAGAGCGGCTCGGGATAGATAGGCTCTGTTTTTCAGTTGCTTGTTACTCTTTGGCTGTGGGAACACCTGCTCCTTATTCTTCTGAATATCAAAGCCAATTTTCCGGAGGAGTTTGAGAATCCCCAATCTCCAAGGGATGAAACAAATGTCATGATTTTATTGATTGTCTGCAGGAGGCTAGGACTATGGACAGATGAGACGCTCAAGGGAAAAAATGGAGGGGGGGGGCGGTTCTTGCCAGGGGCCCCCTACTGTGGGTGGTGCTACTGGGATGGAGTAGAAAGGATAGGAAGTGGGGAAGTGAGGCTTACCTGCTGCATAGGGTAAGTTGTACTGTGCTGGGAGCAATGAGTACCCCAAGTGGTGGTGGTGGTGGTGTGTGGACATCAGGCGCTGAGAAGGGGAGGTTCGGGGCCGGTCAACACTCCTTTCACCCCCGCCTGCTCCCCCGACGCTGCTACAGCTGCCACCACCCCCAACCGCCCCACAGCCTCCCCGATCTCTCTCCTGAGAAGTTTTATCACTTATCTGGAAAGGAAAGCAGACACAAAAGCTCTACTGTGAGACACATACATGAAAGCAAGATGCCCAGAGCCCACATTACGACTCCTTAAAGATGCAGGACACCTAAGAATCAAGGAGGTGCCTGGCAGAGCTACTGTCAAGTCAGCCAAACCACACTGTGGTTAGGACTTGAACTAGTCCATCTTCTCCCAGACCCTGGATCTGGCCTTATTTGTCTCTGACAACAGTCAGTGTCACTGCACTTCCCTCACCGTGGGAGACTTGCTCTTGTAATGACTGGCATGCTGCTGCAAGAGGTCCAGGGCTTTGGACTCTGAGCTGGATTTACAACTGACACTGGGGCTGGCTCGTGCCTTGTCAGCATCTTCACCCCCTGAGACCTTGCTGCCATACGGGGAGAAAGAGTAGCTGGAAGGCAGGTAGGAACCTGGGGAAGAGAAATAAAGCAGTCAAAGAAATGGGAGAGGGAGAAGAAACTCTGCTTCAGTGAGCCTGGTGAGGCTCAGGCTGAGATATTTTCTTCCACAGTGTCTTCGGGCTGAGACTCAGTGTGTACTTCCTTTACTGAGCTCTAGAGGCAAACAGCTAAGGGATATTAGGAACATGGCCCTCAGTTTCTGGGGAACCAACTTCCTTAGAGCCCCAGTCTCAGATTCTTCTTGGAGAGGTGATACAGTCATAGGATTTGAAAGATATTGGATATGGAGATGTCCTTGGGCTCAAATCCTTCCTCTACTTATCAGTTAGGTAACCCTGAACAAAATTAACAAATTAATTAGCTCAAATTAACCTTCTGAGCTTCAGTTTCTTAACCATCAAAATGAAGATACCAATACTTATTTCATAGGATGACAGAGAAGATTAAATAAGATAATGTACATAAATCACCTAGTCCAGTGCCTGGCACAGAGCAGGTACTCATCAAATAGAGCAACTGTTTTTATATAGAAGGATTGGGGTAACAGGAGAAAGGAATACTACAGGATGAGATAATTTCCTATCTCAGTTTGAAAAGCTTAAGTGTCCTATTTAGTATTTGCCTTATAATGTCAATATCAAGACTATTTCAGCTGCTCTCCTATAGGGAGGTGGGAGCTCCAAGAAGTGAAAGAAAGAGTCTTCCACCCCAGAAGCATCCCACATGGCTCTTCAGGCAACAGAGATCAGTGAGTAAAGTGAGCCTTTTCTTCTAACAAGTTAAAAAACACTTTAACTCCTAACTTGTGCCCTGCTCCCCAAGAACTCATGGATGGCAGTATAAAGAGTTTATCTTTCCCAGACTGAATCTTTCTAGCTGGACTTACCCCCAGTCTGACTTCAAACTGCTCTTCCCCTCACTGACTGCCTCCTGACCTTACAGCTAAACACAATTTTGCAAATGAATACATGCACTCTCCTGGGTTGAATTTTATTTGTTCCACGTTTCTCTCCTGCTACAATTAAGTTGTAAGCTCCTTGAGGGGATTGAGCTAGTCTTCGCTATTTCTTTTGTATTCCCCACAGTGCCTAGCACATTGCAAAATGTAGAGAGTATGTGGGTTTTTTTGTTTGTTTTTCTGGCCACGCCCCGAGGCATGTGGGATCTTAGTTCCCTGACCAAGGATTGAACCTGTACCGGCTGGGACCACCAGGGGAGTCCCTAGAGTGTGTGTTTAGAAAATCCCAGCTGAGGGAAGACAGCTCTGGTAGAGATGCGGTTTTGCCTTTAGTTATCCATAAAAATTGACTGTAGAGTCAACCCTCTAGCGGGTGCAAGGGAGGGAGAAGTGGTCCCACAGACTGTAAGTAGGGGTCATTCAAGGAGCTCAGGATTAGTGCCCACTTCACAGAAGGCCACCTTCAAATCAGAGCTGTCGTCTACCTGAGCCTCAGTAAGCCTTAGAGCTGAGCAAGAAAACTCTGGATTCGAAATCTGTGCCTCATTTACCTTCCCATTGAATGGAACAGCCGTTGGAATTCGGTGCCGTACCTGGGTAGTTCTGCATCATCACGGCAGGCATACCCCGGTAGCTGGGGTGGTTGGGGTCATAGGACTGGCTGTAGGAGTAGCCGTGCATGTAGGGGATGTAGGACTGGTGCTGGGTGAGGGGAGAGGACACAGGCACGTGGACACCTGGTCGGGGCTCCTTGCTCCCGAGGCGGGATTCCTCAGACGTGGGCAGCTTGCAGTCACTACTTGTGCTTTCCTTCCCGTCCTCCTTGGGTACAGAGTCCTTACTCCGACTCCTTTCCTCCTTCAGTTTGCGGTCCCGCTCCTCCTTCCACCGCTCATCCTCTGACTTGATGTCTGAGTACTTAGCAGGATAAACATATGTCCACATCCGGGGCTCTGCTTCCTACAACAATCACAGAATGAGCTCTGAGCGTTTTACAGATAGAGAGATTTCAAGCCCAATGTCCCTGTAGAAACACCAGAGCAGATAATACTAGACATCTGGGGCACAGCAGGATCTTGGCCTCTACTGACCTTTGTTTAAAATCACCTCTGGTCGCTCCTGCTTAAATGCCTGTCTCCTCCCCTCATGAAAGGAAATAAGATGTGGTGAAAGAAAGGGAAAATCCACCAGTGGGTCTTCTCTAGGCAAGAACAAGCATTCTGGGGAAAGGACTCCTTGACTAGAAGAAGCCGTTCCCTTTCCAAGGATATTTAGGTGGTTTCCCTTCTTCAGAGCAAACTCAGGGGCAGAGAGCTACAGGTGCTGCCCCGCTCAGAGGAGGGTGGTCTAACTGTGGCACAAAGAGGGAAGGGGAGACTTTCTAAGTCTGAGGAACAGAGCAAAATGTAAGACCAAGTTCTTAGTTCTAACTCTGCCTAGAAAACCTTTCTGAGAGTAACTCGGTGTGAGTTGTGTACTTCTGGCCTACTTTAAAAAATGGAGAGACCACCATTAACTCATTCCATAGGAACCACACAGTGGAAGAAACACTGGACTAGGAATCACTAGATACCTGGGTTCCAGTTCTGGCTCTGCCAGGTAAGTCTCAAGTAATTCCAGACAAATCAAGCTAACTTGCCTGGGCCTCTCTTGTCACATGCGAAAAACACCTTTTACTGGTGTAAAAAGTGCTTTTTAAAAAAAAATGTTAGGGCTTCCCTGGTGGCGCAGTGGTTAAGAATCCGCCTGCCAACACAGAGGACACAGGTTTGAGCCCTGGTCCGGGAAGATCCCACATGCCATGAAGCAACTAAGCCCGTGAGCCACAACTACTGAGCCTGCGCTCTACAGCCCACGTGCCACAACTATTGAAGCCCGCGCACCTAGAGCCCGTGCTCCGCAACAAGAGAAGCCACCGCAATGAGAAGCCCGCGCACTGCAACGAAGAGTAGACCCCGCTCGATGCAACTAGAGAAAGCCCGCGTGCAGCAACGAAGACCCAACGCAGCCAAAGATAAATAAGAAACAAACAAAAAAAGTTACAATGATTTACCAAAGTAAAGAATCCGTAAAATTATAGATTTATTCTGTTAATCTGTATTCTGTTGATTCCCTACCAAAGGACAGCCCTGATTTGTGAGGAAGACAGAAAAACTATCAAATGGTATTTCTATTTCCTTCCAGAACAGTTACCTGTCGGTACCAGAGTATTGGATCCACCTCTGCCTGTCGGCCACACTCGGCACCTGTCTTCGCCTCAGAGGCCTCCTTGCCTAGGTGGCTGGCCTCACTCAGCTTTACTTTAAGTCCTTCTGGGGCCTGGCTGGGGAGCTTGGAAGAGTCATCCAACTTGGGAATAATGACTGATTTGGCAGGGTCAGCCCCTTGCTCCTTGGCCTTCCCGGGTCCTGACTTCACCAGGTCTGTCAGGCTGGGGGCCTTGGTGAGACTTGGTGGAACTGACGGCTTTTGCTTCCATTCTTCCTTGAGTGCTGCCTCCCGCTCCTTCAGGCCCATCTCTGCCTTCTTATCCAGTCCCCGCTGCTGCTGCTCCAAGCTCTGTCGTTTCTGCTGTTCTTCATACTGCTGCCGGTAGGCTGTGTTAGTGCTCAGGAGGTGGGTGTGGTAGCTCTGGTCGCTGTAGCCATAGGGGGGCACATAGGCATACTGGTTGTAGTACAGGGACTGCATGTACATGTTGGGACGTTGCTGGATGACGGAGGGCTGCTGACTGGAACTGCTCAGCTCTGGTTTCTTTTCCTCACAGGCATCGTTCTTCACTTTTCCCTCTATGCTCTCAGGCTCCTCATCCTTTTTTGTCTTCAGGGCCTGGCTCTCCACTCCTGCCTGGCTGCTGGGGTTCAGAGCCCCTGGGCTGGATTGTGTGTAACTTGGAGAGTAGTAACTCTCAAAGCCTTGGTAATATGGTGAGTCTTTGCTCTGTGGCTGAGGGGGGAAAAGGGTTTTCTTGGCCCCGTCCTTAACCAACTGTTCAGGGTCCTTTGATTTGACGCTTTCCACTTTGCCCTCCCCATCCTCCCCCGCATCAGAGATGTCGGAGTATGCAGGGCTGTTGGTTTTGACTGAGCTGGCTTCAGCCCCATTCTGGGTCACTACATGTAAGGGGGTCATGGGCTGGGTAGGGGTAGTGCTATCTAGGCGGCTACAGCCTCCAATTGAAGGGCTGGGAGCATTGTCCGTGAAGCTGTAGATCTTGTCAGCTTCCGCCTTGATGCTAGCCAGTCGGCTCTGGTGGGGGTCTGAGGAGCCATTTAGGAGGACCTCCATCTTCGTCCCATCTCCTGATGATTCCCTAAACGGGCTTTTGCCTTCTTCTGCTCGACACACCTTCCCAGGGGTCAGAGGACTTTCAAGTTCCTTTGAGGATTCCTTCTTTTTTTTGTCTTTCTTTTTCTTGTCCTTGGCTGGAGTCAAGGCAGGGTTGACTGTGAAAGGTTCTCCCATCACAGTGGGCTTGGGCTGAATGGGCTTCAGCTGGGGGCTGTTGGGCATGGCCTGGACCACTGTGGTGGTCAAGCCTGAGGAGGAGCCTGGGCTTGCTGCTGTGAAGGTGGCTGTCTGGAAGGTGTAAATCTGCTGTGGGGGGATGGCAGGGGCAATGGGCCGGGCTGACTTTAAACTTTTGGAAGGAATCTTTTCAGGTTTCAAACTAGAGGGCTTTTTACATTTTTCTTTTTCCATACACTTCCTTTCCAAAGAATCAAAGGCGTCGTTGCTTGTTTCATCCATTACTGAGGGTCCATCATCAGAACCATCATTGGATAAGGCCCCGAGATCTGTGTCCCCTTCCCCACTCAACTTTTTCTTACAGAGGCCTTTTGTGCTGAATTTGCTTGAAGGAGAAGGGCTATGGGGCTCTATGAGCCGAACTTTGGGGGTAGCGGAGCGGGCAGGGGACAAGGAACCTTTTTGTGAGACAGATGCACCATTGCAGCTCCCGAGGTCTGCATGTAGGGTGGGCTCCTCTCCGTACTCACTGTCTCCATCTGCTTCTGGCTTGCTGTCATCATCTGTATGGGCATGAGCTTGGTGGTACTTAAGTCCATTGATGTGCTTGTACTTTTTGTTGCAGTTTGGGTGGGGACAGTCAATCAGGACTGGGGAAGGACAATTTCTGTCTAGAACAGTGGGTTCCACTTTGGTCCCAGGGAGGGGGCCAGTGGCTGAGCCCATGGAATTAGTACGGACACGCTTGCTCCCTTTGGAGTCCTCTGAACTAGAATTCAGCTCCATGTCTGAAAGGGGTTTGTTTTTCCGCTTAGTAGCTGAGGAAGGGCTGGCCTTGACATCCTCGGAGGTGCTGCTGGCAGCTGGGCGATGTTCCGAAGAATTCTGGCTGCCCCGGCGGCCTTTGCTATTGGCTCCTGCTCGGGTTTTGCTGCTACTGCTGGTCCCTTTGCTGTCAGAGGCTGTGGCTGTCTCATTGACAGGTGTGTTACTGTTGGGACGCATGCGTTTGCCTCTACCCCGACCATTGCGCATTTCCAAGTCACTGGTGGGAGAGTCACAGAACCTTGGCAAATGACAAACACAACAGGATATTATTAAGGAAAAAAAGCTATCTTCAAACCAGTTTAGCTGCAGCCTCCAGAAGAACTGTCCATATGGTAACTATCATTTTCAGTGAATATGGTTTGTTAAAGGAACTTCTGAAAGCATGGTAACTGCATTAACTGGTGAGCTCCTAGAATGTTATCTGCATACTAACTATAAATGATTCCCCAAGATTTGGGTTCCCCTAACCCTGACAAACTGGAAATTAATATTAGGAACAAGCCGTAAAGTGCTATTCACTGAAATATCAGTCTTACGGCCAACTGCAACTTGAAAAGGTCCTTGTGAAACCCAGACTGTCTAGTGGAGTTTATGAAACTGAAAATGTTTTCGAGTTTAAACTTCTGAGAGATAGCTACTATCAAAAAACATCATCAGTGAATGCTTATTCACCTGTAGTCAGATTCTGGCCTTGGTCTCAAGGTGACTGTAGGTAGAAGCCAGAATTCAGTCATTCCGGATAAAGGCTTAAATAGGATCTTCTCACCATTCCTACCCATTGATTTATTCTTCTTGAATGCCAGATGAATATAATGCCTTCCCTTGTTTCTATAACATAACTGTCCTTTAAAAGCTGGGTGTCTTTTAAAAGCTGTCCAACTCTAACAGGATAAAGGTATAAGGGATCACTGATGAGGGTGGTTCAGATTAACATAAACTAAAAAGCTGTAGAGTGCTTACCTGGGGGGTGCCCAGTCATGTCGTGTGCAGTCAAGAAGTGTACCTACGTAAGTCTTGTTCCTCCACGTTACATTCACCACCAACATCCCTGGAAGACAAGAAGACTCACATCTAGACAAGAGAAATACTGTTGGCCACTGAGAAGAGTATTTTCCATCTGAGTAGCATTCTGGCTCCTGTAGGAGGGTTTAGGGGGTGCTCTAGGTCCCAGTGGGCCTAACATCATTAGGCTGGAATAGTTCCACGGGAACTGCCTACAACACTACCAGGGCCCCTTAGGATGGGCAATGGTTGCAAAGATTCCATGGTCCAGTTAAGGCACATTTTCCTAACTTTTAAAAAATTATGCAGTATTTCAAATACACTAAAAAAATACAAAGGATAACTAAACAAAAACTCATGTACCCACCACCCAGCTCAATGGATTTATAAAATTTTGTGCTATACTTGCAACAGATTTATTTTTTAAAGAATAAAACATCATAGTTGAAAACCACTGTTTACTATATTTTCAAACTTGCCATTGCTAGGATCATGCTGGGTATATAACTTACTGTTCTCACTTAACATTACAAATTTGAGATTTATCAATGTTGACGTGAAGAGCTTAACCCATTTATTTTAATGGTGCTCAAGTATGTCACTGCATGATTTGACCACAATTTATACATACTGTTGATGGAAATTTAGATGTTTCTTGCACATTTTCACTCTTAAATGACATCACAATGAACATTCCTGACATGTTCATTTTATTTAAAAATGGTTTTGAATAGATACCATAGTCACACTCCAAAATTTAAAAGGTAGCAAAAAAAAAAAAAAAAATGCAGACAAACCCCAACATGAAATGAAGTGTCCCTCCTGTCACTGTTCTTCAGCTTTGCAGGTCCCACACTCAGAAACACCCATGGATATCCATGTACTCCTCCAGAGGTATTTTATATATTTCTAAGCACATATGTTTATACATTCTTCCTCAAATGGTAGCAATGTACACCGATGTTCTGCACATTTTCCACATAACCGTATATTTTGGATCATATTCCACGTGAGTAAACATAGAACTACTTCAGTCTTTTCAATGCTGCATATGACTGATTTCAAACCATATACCAACATTTATTTATCCAGTCCCCTGTTGATGAACATTTAGGTTGCTGCATTCTTCTGCTGTTACAAATAACGCTGAATAAATAACCTAGTACAAATGTCTTATCTTACATATCACAGAATATGTCTGTAAGATAAATTCCTATAAGTAAAACTGCTAATCACAGAGCATTTGTATTTGGATTTTTCATAAATACTGTCAATTTGCCCTCAGAGAGGCTATACTAATTTATAAACCCACCAATAGTTCATGAGAACACCTGTTGTCCCTTCCCTGTGGCAACACAGTATTCTCAAACTTTCTGGTTTTGCCAATCTGATTGGAGAAAAATGGTGTTTTATGTAGTTTTAATGTCATGTTTCTTATTATGAGTTTGTATAGCATTTCATTACAAGATACCATTATGAGACATTTGTATTTACCTTCTAATGAACTGTCTGTTCATATCCTTTGCTCATTTTTCTACTGAATTATAGTCTTTTTCTTATTTGTAACTGTTTATATACCACAGCAAGCCTTTTGACTGTACTACAAATCAGATATTTCCCCCAGTTTGTCATTTGCCAATGGTGGTTAATGCTATGCAGAAATCACTTACTTTTAGGTTGTTACATTTATCAATCTTTTATGGCTTCAGAATTTTTATCATATTTCAAAAGGCTTTCCCCATTCCATCACTTTATTAATGGTTTTTTTCTTATGGTTTCTTCTAGTATTTTTATGGTTTGATTTTTTATATTTTAATCTTTGATCCACCTGGAATTTAATATGGCATAAAATGTCTGACATGGACTTTTTTTTTTTTCTTGGCTGCGCCGCACAGCTTGTGGGATCTTAATTCCCCGACTAGGGACTGAATCTGGCCCTAGGCAGTGACAACATGGAGTCCTAACCACTGGAACTCCAGGGAATTCCCTGACATGGACTTTCTGGGTTTTTTTTTTGCCTTAATTCTAAATTATTTTTGTTTAGTTTTACACTGAATGAAGTCAAATATATTAAGCTTTTCATTTCCTTTATTTTATTTATTTATTTATTTTTGCGGTACGCGGGCCTCTTACTGTTGTGGCCTCTCCTGTTGCGGAGCACAGGCTCCGGACGCGCAGGCTCAGTGGCCATGGCTCACAGGCCCAGCCGCTCCACGGCATGTGGGATCTTCCCGGACCGGGGCACGAACCCGTGTCCCCTGCATCGGCAGGCGGACTCTCTACCACTGCGCCACCAGGGAAGCCCAGCTTTTCCTTTATTGTTTGTGCTTTTTATGTCTAATCACAAGGTCATAAACATTCTACCATGAAATATTTTATAGGTATCTTTAACAAGCTAAGAATTTTTTTACATTTTTAGTGGTAGAAAAAAAGGAAAAGGAGAATAATATTTTGTCGTGAAATTATATGAAATTCAAATACTGCTCAGAAATAAATTTTATTGGAATATAGCCACATTTATTCATTTGCCCATTGCCTATGCCCGATTTCACGCCTCAAGGCAGACAGAGTTGAGTATGTGTAATAAGGGCTATATGGCCCTCAAAGCCTAAAATATTTACTATTTGGCCCTTTACAGAAAAGGTTCACCAACCCCTGTTTTAGATCTTTTTTCTAATATAAGCATTTAAGGTATAAATTTCGCTCATAGCCCACTTTAGTTACAGTCCACAAGTTTTGATATGTTTTCATTATCATTCAGGTCAAAACATTTAGTTTCCCTGGCTTTTTTTTTTTTTTCTTTGATTTTGGATTTATTTAGAAGAGTGTTGTCAAATTTTCAAATACCTGGGAATTTTCCAACTATCTTTTTGTTTCTGATTTCTAATATAATTCTATTGTGATTAGAAAACATACTATATATGATTTCAATTCTTTTAAATTTATTGCAAATTAATTTATGGTATAAAATACGGTCTGTCTTGAAGAACATCCCATGTGCACCTGAAAAGAATATTTCAAAATGTATACTCTGCAGTTGTTGGGTAGCCTATAAATGATAGATCAAGTTGATTGATAATGTTTTTCAAATCTTCTATATCCTTATTAATTTTCTATCTTCTTATCAATTATACTTGCCACTTGTTCTTGCTTACTGGAACTCCTATTTGGACCTTCTAGACTAATCCTCTTATCTTTCTAGCCTATTTCCCATTTCTTTGTCTTCTGGTTGTATATTATAAGGGATTTCCTTCATCTTCTAGGCTACATACTGAAATTTTCATTTTTACCATTTTTAATTTAAAAAAAAGTATCCTTGTTTCATGGGATACAGTATTTTATCTCTCTGAAGATATTTCATTATATATTTTTTTCTCTCAATAGTCTTTTGCTCTCTCAGTAGTTTTTTCCCTCTAACTCCTTTTTTTCTGTTTGTTTTGTCCTACGTTCTCTTGCTTTTCAGGTTTTCCTCAAAAAGTTTGGTGATCTTCGTTCGGATCTTGTTCATATTTAAATGAAAGGTAATAAAAATTGGACTGGAAGCACTATGTGTGGGCCTTTTCCATTAAGCCATGAATACTGGTAGAGATTTTTCCTCCTTTCCAGGACTTGTCAGATTCCTCCAGAGAAGAACTCTTTAATTTCTTACCTGCCTGCCAGTTTCTCTGTTATATGGATTTTCACTTGGTCCTTGATACAGCACCCTGCCTTCCTCTATGCCCAGCGTCCCTGCTCTGGTTGAAACTCTCCAAAGAGTGAACATCAGTTTTCTGTAATGGCAGAGGGGCTGTGTAGGATGGGGATAATAATGCACAGCCTTTGCTTCTTCTCTAGACCTTCAGCCAGTCTTCTGTTTTCAGCTTCACCCCATATTCCCTGTGTTCAAAGGTACAAGTATTTCCAATTTCTGAATATTTCTAGAAATCTGTGGTGCAAACTCCTTATTCTTGGCTCTCCTTCCTCCCAACCTCAGGTAAACAAAGAAACAAACAAGCTTCTGTTTTTTCAGGTCTCTTAAATCAGCATTGTGCATCTGCTTTCTAGTGTCCCAAGTTTTACTGATTTATACCTGTCTTCTTTACCTTGTGAGTTTATATCTTAAAAACAAAATCCCTTTACTGACATTTGAATGGGTTTTAGGGGGAAGGTAGGAGGTAAACATGTACTTTCAATCTACCATATTTAACCAGAATACTGAATTTACTCTTTTTAAAAAAGTTTATTTATTTATTTTTGGCTGTGTTGGGTCTTCATTGCATGAGGGCTTTCTGCAGTTGCGATGAGCGGGGGCTGCTCTTTGTTGTGGGCTTCTCATTGCGGTGGCTTCTCTTATTGCGGACCACGGGCTCTAGGTGTGCGGGCTTCAGTAGTTGTGGTGTGCGGGCTCAGTAGTTGTGGCTCGTGGGCTCTAGAGCACAGGCTCAGTAGTTGTGGTGCACAGGCTTAGTTGCTCCGCGGCATGTGGGATCTTCCTGGACCAGAGGTGGAACCCGTGTCCCCTGCATTGCCAAGTGGATTCTTAACCACTGTGCCACCAGGGAAGTCTCCCTGAATTTACTTTTATTTATCTGTTTGGTATACAGTACTTGGAGTGTACAACCTACCTAGTTAAGTTTCTAATTAGAATTTCTCTAATTCAGGAAAGTCATTACCTATTATATATTAATTTACTGTCTTTCTGCCATTCTTTCATTTTTATTTCTAGGAATCACGTTGATCTCTCATATATTTTTTCTTTGTGCTTGATTCTTCCAATTTATAATCTTTTCTTTGACTACATGTAGCCTAGAATTTATCCAATATATTGAGGTTTTTAAAAAATTTCAATGACTATAGTATATAATTGTATTTAAATGACTTTTTCTCATTTCCAAAATTGTAAACTGGTTAATTTTTCATATCTACATGACATTATTTAATTACTGGCTGTTTGGTTCAGTTTTATTTTTTTCATAGTTTTATTTTTAATAGAGTTTATTATTCTGTTTCTCTTTAAGATTTCTAAACATACTTATTACAGTCTTTGTACCATATGTTAATTTCATT